TGCCAGCAGCCCCCCCGGAGGTGGAGGGCCCCTCGTGCCCACACAGGTGAGGACGTGGTGGGGTGCCGAGCTGGGGGCCGCTCCGCGGGGGCATGCGGGAGCTCCCCCAGGACCCTGCCCAGGTGCTGCCCCAGAGCTTCAGGCCCCGCTGTGGGTGCCTGAGCCCTGCCCTCTCCCCTGCCAGGGTGATCGAGAACCTCTACAGGCAGCACTGCCTGGAAAAGGGCAAGGAGCAGCCCCCGGCGCTGGAGCCTGCGGTGGAGGAGGAGCTGCTGGTGATGGACAACAGCATGATGTGGCAGGAGGTGAAGGAAGGGATGGAGAGTCCCTTGGTGGGAGGGAGATGTGGGGGGCTGGGCTGTTGCCCCTGTACAAGCAAAAACCATCCCCCTGTCCCCGTTCCTAGGGCTGGAAGTAAGAAATTCCCTTTAATAGGTGCTAGGTTGTTGGAGAATTGGTGTTTGACCCGACTTCTCCCGCGGCCCCTCTCTGCTGCAGGTGGAGGAGCTGAGCCAGCTGGAGGTGGATGTGGAGGAGAAAATGGGCAGGATGGACCCAAGCCTGATGCAGGTGAGGGGGTTTCCCGTGGGAGGGGGCGGTGGGTTGGTCCCTCACCCCTCAGTTGCCTGTGGCTGGCACCACCTCGCCGTCGTGGGTCGCAGGAGGAGGCGGACGAGCTGTCCGAGCCGGCGGAGGCGAGGAGCCAGCCCTCCTACCACCACGGCAACGGGCCCTACAACGACGTCAACATCCCCGGGTGCTGGTTCTTCAAGCTGCCTCACAAGGCAAGTTGGGTGCTCCTGGGGCTCCTCTGGGGGATTCATGGCCAGCCTGTGTCCCAACTCCCCCTGTCCTGCTGTGCAGCTGTGTCGCTGCCTGTCACCCCAGTGCTGCAGCACTCCTGGGACCTTGTCCCGTGTGGTGGGGTGGTAGAAATTCATCTCAGTAGCTAGGGCAGGAGGATGCAGAGAACTTTACAGAGCAGTGGCATGCTGAGCCTTTGCACCTCTTCTGCTGCTAAAGGATGGGAACGAGAACAACGTGGGAAGCCCTTTTGCCAAGGATTTCCTGCCCCAGATGGAGGACGGGACCCTACGGGCCGCCGTGGGCCGTGTCCACGGGACCAGAGCCCTCGAGATCAACAAAATGATCTCGTTTTGGAGGAACGCTCACAAGCGGATCAGGTGAGCAGCTGCCTTGAGCCTGATGGCGCCATCCCTGCGGGCAGAGGCGGGACCCTACGGGCCGCCGTGGGCCGTGTCCACGGGACCAGAGCCCTCGAGATCAACAAAATGATCTCGTTTTGGAGGAACGCTCACAAGCGGATCAGGTGAGCAGCTGCCTTGAGCCTGACGGCGCCATCCCTGCGGGCAGAGGCTGCCTCACGGCCAGGGTTAGCTCCTGCAGACATGGGGCTCTGAGCATGCTGCTTGCTGCCTGTCCCTCCAGTTCCCAGATGGTAGTGTGGCTGAAGAAAGGGGAGCTGCCTCGTGTGGTGACCAGGTACGGGGAGGAGCGGCCCCAGCTGGGACCACAGTCCCCTTTACGCTGCCCTGGGAGGGCTCTTGCAGGGTGGTGCTCACCCTCACCTTTGCCCCAGGCACCCCGACTATAACGAGGAGGACGATTACGGAGCCATCCTGCCGCAGGTGGTGACCGCAGGCACCATCACCCGCCGGGCAGTGGAGCCCACGTGGCTGACAGCCAGCAACGCCCGGGTACGGCCATGTGTGGGTCCCTGTAGGGGGACCGGGTACGGCCGTGTGCGGGTCCCTGTAGGGGGTGTTTTGGGGCATCTCTGTGTGTTTTGGGCTGATGGGAGCAGCCTGGGTTGGAAACGGGACTTGGGGCTGGATGCTGGGGTTTGAGGTGTCAGTGATAGTGCTGGGGCCTTTCTGTTGATGTGCTTTGACTTTGGGAGAGGAGTCAGGACAGGCTCCTGAGCTTCAGAATTTGGTGAAAAGAGAAGAAAACACTGAAGTGCTGGTTTCTGTCTTTTCTCAAGCTTCCCTTCTTCCTTGCTGGAGGAACCTGGGGGGAGTAGCCGAGTGGGTGATGCCCTCCTCTGCACGTGCTCAACCTGGGTTGGACTTGCAGAGCAGAATTCAGGGTGGTGGGGAGGGCCATGCTGGCACAGGCGGCTGTGGGAGGAGGGCTGC